CTCCTGTTCCTAACCTCTTTTCATCGATCTCAAGGAAAAGTGGGTAGGAGAATTACTGAGGACTTAGAAAAAGAGAAAAGTGGTGTGCTGAGGATTTGAACGAGCTCACACTCATTTCTTAACGTTGTGATGACGCATGTCCGCTATATTGACAATGTGTAAAAGATGGACTACAAAGCATGCGTTACTTCTCCACAACATGTTCTGTTGTTTTATGGGGGTAATGTAAACATTGAGAAAATCATTCATTTTTCATTAGAAAGGCTGGAATTTTAAAGAAGGAGGAACAGATTCACTAACTTCTTCATGCTGAGTGTTTAGAGGCGAGCCCACTTATTGCTCCTTGGTAAATGCTTCCATGAAACGGCAGAAATGACCTGAACTTGGCTGCTCTTTCTCAGCAGTGTTCACACAGCGAGTGACTTCTCTCTGCTGAATCTGTAACAGATAAAAGTGCACTATGCTGTTAAAACTACCAAGTGATGCACTTATACATACACCTGTCACAACTGGGACTTCTCATAATATAACGGTAAATAATGTTTGTCTTCTGAAATTCTCACCAGATGTCAGTAATAACCCATCCAAGCCACACATGGAAACATAGACGTCCATAAATTATGTGTAAAAACGAGAAGTGACACAGGGAAAAGTATTGAACATGTGAAGAGAGGGATGTGTAAAAAGGCAGGGAGATTCAAGACAGCAGCTAAAATCTATCAGTGATTATAAGTCAATCCTGCCACTTAGTGCAAATTAATATCAGCTCAATCAGTCCTGAATGATGGCTAATAAAAGGTGCCCAATTATCAAGTTGTCACACAGAAACATCTCATGACGGGTAAAACCAGTGAGGTCTCCCAAGACCATCATAACCTTATTGTTGCAAAAACATACTGATGAATTTCTAAAAATAACAGTTCCATTGAGTACTGTTGGGCCCAATGTCCGGAAATGGAAAGAACATAATTTCACCATTAACCGGCCGCGACCAGTTGCTCCCTGCAAGATTTCAGACAGGGGAGTGAAAAAAAAAAAATCAGAATCAGAAGAGTTGTTCAAAAGCCAAGGGGCTCCTGTGCAGAGCTACAGAAAGACCTGAATCAGCAGGTATGATTGTTTCAAAGAAAACGATAAGTAATGCACTAATACGCTGTGGCGCATATAAACGCTCAACATGGAAGACTCCATTGCTGACTCCATCTTGAAGCTTGGTCCAGATGGCATCAGCTCGGCAGACTGCTTCTCAAGTCCAATGCAGGATAACTCAATACATCTTTAGCCTGAGCCTGAAGCTTGGTAGAATGCCACAGCTGTGGAAAACATCTTGTGTGGTGTCAGTTTCCAAGAGGCCACAGCCAAAGGACTTCAACAGCTATAGGCCGGTGGCTCTGACATCACATCTGACAAAGATCCTGGAGAGGCTAGTCCTTGCTCATCTTCAGCTGCAAGTGAGCTCACTGCTGGACCCACTCCAGTTCACTTATCGCCCCAACCGGTCAACAGATGATGCCATCGCCACCACCCTACATCTGGCTCTCACTCACCTGGACAATAAGGGCATGTATGTATGAATGCTGTTCATAGATTTCACTTCAGCATTCAACACAATCATTCCTCAACACCTGACTGGAAAACTGAGCCTGCTGGACCTGAACACTTCGTTCTGCCACTGGATCCTGGACTTTCTCATGGAGAGGCCTCAGACAGTCCAGATCAGTAACTGCATCTCCATCACCACCACAATGAGCACTAGAGCCCCTCGGGGCTGTGTGCTCATCCCACTGCTGTTCACTTTGCTGACTCACGACTGTACAGCAATGCACAGTTCAAACCAAATCGTCAGTTTCGCTGATGACAGGACTGTGGTGGGTCTCATCAGCAAAAGCAATGAGTCAGCATACAGAGAGGAGGTGCAGAAGCTAACGGACTGTTGCAGAGTCAACAACCTGTCTCTGAACGTGGACAAAACAAAAGAGATAATTGTCGACTTCAGGAGAGCATGGTGAGATCACTGTCCACTTAACATCAATGAATCCTCTCTGGAGGTTGTCAAGAGCACCAAATTCCTTAGTGTTCACCTGGCGGAGACCCTCTCCTGGTCCCTCATCACCAGCTCCATAACTACCTCCATTACACTCAGTGACTGGACTGACACACACATACCTTCACACACGTCACTACATTACCTGCACAATGGCATATGCAGACACACCTCACACACCTTCATACATCAATTACATGCATAGGTTGTTGCTTTTGCTTTTTTGCACAGTGCTCAGTCTTTTTGAACAACCCACTGTCTATTGCACTGTCTTGTATCTGTATCATTCTGTTCTGTCTGGTGTTGCACTGTTTTTTGCAGTTTTTCACACTTGCACTTTATGTAGTCCTGGTTTGATTTTACTCCAAGGTCATGTGGCACCATGATCTTGGAGGAACGCTGTCTCGCGTCACTGTGTACTGTACCACTGCACATGCTTGAAATGACAGTAAAGCCACTTGACTTGATTTGACTTGATATTTTTATCTAAATAATCTAAATCTCTTTATTTATTCCTGGCCTATCTGCTTTTCTGCTGTAACAATGAATTTTCCATCTGTGGGACTAATAAAGTCTATCTTATGTCTGGTCAGATGAGTCCAAAATTAAACTCTTTGGATGCCATAATGCGTTTTAACATCATCGTACGTTTGGAGGTCAAAGGGAACTATATATCACCCCCAGAACACTAATATAGATGTTTGGAGTTGGGAACATCGTGGTGTGGGGCTCCTTTTCAGCATACAGCACTGACAGACTTCATATAACTGAAGGAAGGATGAATGGAAAAATGTACAGAGAAATTCCTGATAAAAATCTGCTGCCATCTACCAGGATGATGAAGATGAAACGAGACGAAAGAAAACTCTCAGCTGGTGTCAGAGATAGGAAATAAAGCTGCTGGATCAGCTGACCTCAACCAACTGAAAAGAACTCAAGGTCAAAGTTCATAGACGGGACCCACGGAACCTTCAGGGTTTGAAGACTGTTTGTGTGGAAGAATGGACCAAAATCACACCCGAGCAATGCTGCGACTAGTTTCTCCATACAGGAGAAGCTGAATATGAAGCTGTGATCACCAACAAAGGCTTTGTATAAAGTATTAATCCAATTTCAGTGAGTGTCTTCATTTATTTTCTCTGTGTCATTTATCATTATTACACATATTTATGGACATCTATGGTTTGATTCCTTTGCATGTGTGGATTGGATGGGTTATCACTCACATCTGGTGAGAATTTAATATCAATCGCACCTTCAGAAATATATTTACTTTGAACTTACTTAAATTACTTATTTTACCCTCTGTATATTTATTTTGTTTCCTCCAGCCTGTTAAGGATTTCTGTAAAATTCCCTCCATCGTAACCGATCCCAGTTGACCTGAAGTAAACATGAATCCTAAAGACTGTAATACAACAGTGATCATACAGAGCCTTAAACACTCTTTGATCATTTATTATAAATCATAATCTTGAACTCACTGTTCTACTTTCTTCATGCAGCAACAACATCAAATTTATATTCCAGCAGCTTGATGTTCAGAGTTTAGCTGTGAATTTAACAGCTGCTGATAAAAACTATAAATATATCCACAGGTTATGGATAAAATGGAAAATGCAGTTAGAAGGAACATCAAAATCGATCCCACCCACTTCGATTATGTCAGTGTTTTCATAAATGGTTGGATGGTTGTTTGCAGTGAATTATAGGACACATTTTCTCCTCTCCTTTCGTAGAGGATGCTAGTGTTTGGAGTCATGTCTCTTAGTGAGGAAACTTTCACAGAAACATGGACTTTTGGAATGCACCCATAGTTACCTCCTTTATTCTGAAATCATTTTATTGTGAAGTTTAGTTTTCTGTCTTTTATTCTGAAAGCGGGTGTTTTATTGTAAAAGGTGGAGGACAGTCTGGAGCTGTCATTTCTGATTGAAGATGTGAAGCTGGACATTTTTTTCTTCTACGACAACGGTGATATCATGTGGAATGGCGGGACGCAGGCAAAGAGTGGCAGGAAGTTCAAGTAAAATCCTTTCACCTTAAATATTTGTACAGACGGCGTAATCGTCATGTCGTTTATTGCTACGTAAAGTCATTACCATCTGTCAGGTCACTTTGTCAACCCTGCCGCAGGTTAAAAAATTTTTTCTTCTTATCTCCAGGTACATCTTTCCACGCTTCTCGCTGTGCTGGGCGGAGCTTCTTGAGCTGAAAGTGCGTGTTCCATGTGAGACGCTTGACTACGTGACAGCAAACTATGGCGCCTCCTGGAACATCCCACTGAGGGTCTGGGACTGGAAATCATCACCAAGCAATGTGCAAGCGAACGGGGTGTGGCCTGTGGCAGAGTGGGCAGAGCTTATCCAGGTGTACTGACTGATATTTTATTATCAGCCATCAGTCAGCTGATCGGGACCACACACACACACACACACACGATTCTGTTGTTGAAACAAACTAATAAAAGTTTTGTTTAAATTGTGTCTCCTTTTGTTTAGAACGTGACTTACTGTAACAGGATGTGATGAAATCAGTAACATCCCTATTTATATGGCCCATTAAACAAATGTCCTAGTGATTTAAATTTGACATCGTACACAGCTGCAAACATTTGTAAATATTTTGCAAACAATACAACCAGCAGGAAATCTAAATATTATTTATTGTTTAGGGACAGATTGGTGTGTCACTGTTTACATCCAGACTACCAGACTTCATTCATATATTACGTGTTTTTACTCGTGATCAAACTAACAGAACGTCTGCAGTCTGATCATTAGGTGTCTTCTCCCCATCAGACTCCATTCAAAGTCCCACCGTTTATACTCTTCCTTGTGATGCAAAAAAAAAAAAAATTAACATTATTTTATTAGATCAATAATACTTTTGCCTCCAGGCTTTGACAGTTATGTTAAATAATCTAGATCAACTCTCCACGACTAAATTCATCTTCTCACTTTTTACTTCTTTACTGAGCAAAAAAAGCCAGAAGCCATTCATTTTAGCACCATTTTTATAATTTCTTGTGGCGCAATAAAAATATCAACATCATAAATTTGTTACGAGGGGCCACCTCTCCACCAGGTTCCATTGATTTTTCCCCACTATCTTTCAGTGGGCTGAAGTTATTTTACGGTAAATCTCAATTTATTATATCAACACATTTCTACCTTTTATTATTACCAATCTGTGGGTCATCTCGCCACCAGACTCCATTCATATTCTCATGAGCTTTACTCATTTAGTCTTACTACTGAAAAATAATAGCCAGATGCCAGTGCGATCTCCCAATCAGACTCAATTCTCTCTGTGCCCATTTTTACTTGAACAGCGTCAGTTACAGATCAGTGATGACTAACAGAGTCAACGTCATTTCCAAACCAGATTCCATTCATTTTAACACAGTTTTTACTCTCCTAGTTTCAGTCTTTCAGCCCTGCTTCCGGTCCGGTCCGGCTTTCCGTCTGATGTCACTCCGCCGCCGGTTCGGCCTGCCCCTCCTTGTGGACTACGATGCCCTTGCTGATAAGGTCCGGAATCTCCACGGCGAGCCACGGTCCGAGTCCGAGCGCCATGAGGTGCGCGAGCCCGAACCGCGGCGCGTTCCGGGCCCAGAGCGGCGCAAAGTGTTCGGTGAGGCAGATTTTCCCGCCGCGGTACATTTTGGCGGTCTTCCCGTCCAGCTCCGGAACTGCCACCTCAGGCGCGGTGTCCGGGTACGTCACAGGGATATCAAACTCTAGCCGGAACTCGTAGCGCAGCAGTTCGTGGATGTACCAGCACGTGCCAGTCCAGCGCGTGCCGTCAGCGTTGGATTCGAGGCGGAACCAGTCGTTGTCGGCCGCCTTGTTCTGCTCCACGAAGCGGATCAGCGCCTGGTACTCCTCCTTCAGCCGCTGCGGCCACAGCGCGCGGTCTCGCGGCCCCGCGTGCGTCTTCAGCAGCGGGATCTGCGAAACGGCCTTGCGCGTGGCCTCGTCCGCCATGATGCGCAGGAGAGTTAATGGGTATGACTTTAGTTCGGTTCGGTCCGGACCCCTCAGGTGTGCTCTGAGGACTGACGTGGACTTCACCGGGAGCGGATCCGGCCAACAACTTCCGCTTCCGGGTTTTCAAAACAAAAGCCTCAGTTTGTTCCCTTTTTTTTTTTTTTACCTTCAAAGTTTATAACAGGCATGTGACAAACAGCAACACTGCCCACCTGAGCAGCAACAGATCCGTCACAGGTATAAATTATTATGAGTTTGTACAGCTTTACACAAAAAACTGATCTATAATCAATCGATAACTAGTGACGCCAGATGATCGAACAGAAAAATTGATTACTGTTAATGATTACCATATAGTTTAAAATACAGGCACCTGATGAGTCATGCAGGTTATTTAAGCTGAACACTGACAGTCCTGCTGGTATACATACAGGTGCCATTAGTTCGAGTAATCCCATCCTCTGGTTGGATGAGGATGTGCCGATGTTTTCCTCCTTCCATGCGAACCCCCAGGGGGACCAGCCTGAAGCTGAAGAGGAGGAGGATTTCATTTTTAACCTAAACATTAACTCTGCAGTCAGCAAGACAATCTCCATGCCTCCTCAGGCTGGCATCCTTTCCCTCAGGCAGAGAGAGTCGCACTAAGCATGTGCAGAGTTCTTCATCAAGAACCGCAAGTTCAACGATTATCCATCCATCCATCAATCTATCTTCTTCCGCTTATCCGGGGAAGGGTCACAGGGGCAGCAGCGCAAGCAGAGAAGCCCAGACCTCCCTCTCCTCAGCCACCTCCTCCAACTTCTCCGGGGGAACACCAAGGCGTTCCCAGGCCAGCCGTTAGATATAATCTCTCCAGTGTGTCTGCCCCCGGGCCTCCTCCTGGTGGGACATCCCCGGAACACCTCACCCAGGAGGCATCCTTGTCAGATGCCTGAACCATCTCAACTATCTCTTGAATGCGGAGGAGCAGCAGCGGCTCTACTCCGAGCCCCTCCCGGATGGCTGAACTTCCCACCCTATCTCTAGGGGAGAGGCCAGCCACCCTTCGGAGGAAGCCCATTTCTGCCGCTTGTGTCCGGGATCTCGTTCTTTCGGTAACTACCCACAGCTCATGAAAATAGGTGAGGATAGGGACGTAGGTCAACTGGTAAACTGAGAGCTTTGTTTTTACGCTCAGCTCTCTCTTCACCACAACAGACCGGGGCAGCGTCCGCATCACTGCAGCTGCAGCACCAATCCGTCTGTCGATCTCCCGCTCCCTTCTCCCATCACTCGTGAACAAGACCCTGGGATACTTAAACTCCTCCACTTGGGGCAGGAACTCGTCCCTGACCCGAAGGGGGCACTCCACCCTTTTCCGGCTGAGGACCATGGCCTCAGATTTGGAAGTGCTGATTCTCATTCCCCCCCGCTTCGCACTCGACTGCGAACCGTTCCAAGGCAAGCTGGAGGCCATCACCCGATGAAGCCAACAGAAGCACATCATCCAGAGGTTCAACAATTACTGTTTGTTAATGTTGATAAAGGTTGAAATCAGATATTAAAATGGCTGACCCCAGCTTAAATGATACTACTGGGAATCCTGATGTGCAGTAGCTGGAAAAGGTGTGTGGCCATCACATGCGGAGCAGAGCAGAATCCTGACCCTACCATCTAACTGAGTGCTGCACATTTCACTCTGACATCACTGTTTTTTTCTATGATTTGGGGTTGGCATGATTCAGACATGAAGCAGCAGAATGAACAGCTTCAGTGTTCCTCTGATTCACACACACACACTTTGACTGTGGTTGTGTCCAGGTTTGTGCGCTGAAGTTCACTGACACACCTTTACACAGGTAATACTGAGCTGAGGATGGAGATCTACCTGACAAGTTACAGCTGATGTCAGGTGTGTGCAGCTCTGAGGCCCCACACCTGCAGAAAAAATCTGGAATTAAAAACACTGTTTCAAAGACAGCATGCTGAGCAAATGTAAATAAAAACTAAATCCAATGATTTCTCATAAACCCTGCAAAAAAACTGCATCTCCACACTGAATCATGTTCCTAACTGTTGACATCTCATCAACTGACAACATGGCATCACGCCGCATCCTCAGACTGAAGAGGAAAGTGCTCAGGTCAAAGACTCTGTAATGGTTTCTGCAGCCACCATACTCCAGCAGACCAGAACAGGATGCTGCACCGCCCTCCCCTCCAGTAGCGGTTTTTGATACGGGCGACACAGGTGGTTGCCCGGTGCGGCATCGTGGTGGGGGCGGCATCCCGGGTATCGGCAAAAAAATTTTTTTTGCTCGTACTCATGCTGCCCCAACGTTAGCCAGCGCATATTGGGAATGGCATAGGCACCGATCGGCTTTCTATCGCCCATTTGCTGGGAGTAAGGACGCCCTTCGTTTGCGAGGTGCGCCTACTGCTTGCGGCACAGGGAGGAGAGGGCGGGGCGGCGGGGGATTCTCTGGCTGGCTGGAGCAGCATCTAATAACCTACCCGCAAAATAAAAACAAACCAACAAACACGAAAACACCAGACATTATGATACAGACTTATAATTTGCACCGATGTTTTTTCGAAATTCTGTATGCGAAAAGTGAGCGCCAGAGCCCTCGGTGCGCCTGCTGCTGAAGTCAAAGTAAACTTTATTGTCATCTCCGCTACATACAGTCCAGTATATAGAGAGACGAGACGACAAGGCTCCAGTTACAGCAGTGCAAGTAAACAAACAATAAATATAAGAAGAGTGAGAAAATAAATATACACTTTAGGACCAGGGGTAAAGGGATCAATAACAATTTATAATTTTTTTTCAGTTTGATAATTTAAAGTCTCACATACAACCTGTCGAAAGGGGAGGGGGGCCTGCTGCTTCCAAATAGAGCACATTTCATTTATAATGTTGTAAATCCAAGACCATTATGTATTCATGATTTAAATCCTGGGTTGTGCGAAATCCCAGAAATACACCCTAGACAAAGCAAATCTGTGAACTAAGGTGTAGGTCTATTAGGTTATGTTGTGGTGATCCTCGGGTTGGGGGATTTGTGTTCATACTGGAGTGCAAAATTAAAACCAATGGAAAATGGATGAGAAAAGTTCAAAGCCATCAGGTCCTCAGTTTAGAAAAAATAGAAAAGAACAGGAGGAGAAATGAGCCAAAGATGCAGGTAAGCAGATGTGTCATTGGATAATGGCAGGTCATGTATCCTGAAACAATCAGAATCAGAATACTTTATTAATCCTTAAGGAAATTATGTGGGTTACAGTTGCTCCAAGAAGAAATGGTAAAAATAGCAACATTAACAGACTAAACTCCAAACAATACATTATACAGATTTTACACAATTAAGAAATAGCACTAATATATGCAGATCACTCAATTATAAATATCAAGGATTAACAGAGGTGATTATAAATAAATATCAAGAAAATTGACAAGAATATTCCAGAGTAGAAAAGAACGTGTGGAAAAAGGATGTAACTATCCGGTTGTTCAGTCTGACGTCACTAGCCGTGTCTGGACCTACAGTCCGCTGCAGGTCCATATATCAAACGATCACTATGGCATTACTGAGAGTAGAAAAACTGTCTAAAGTCTTTCATCTTTAATAAAATGATCAGCGTTCTGCTCTACCAGGTGTAACAATTGAGTTTAACATCCAGGCATCCATGAAAATGGAATTTATAACATTTAACGGAGTTAGAAGTTAGCAGGGAGTTAGCTCGCTAGCTTCTATCTAAATACAATATAGCATGTCCTGACTGCGGGGTTTTGGAAACAAATTAAAACGTACAGCTCTGTTATCACTTCCAGCATAAATGAAGACAGAAAACTAAACAGCAGTGACGTTTGTAGGGTTACTGAAGTTGGGCTAGCTGGTGACCGCTAGCTAGGGTTGCCAACCGTCCCTTAAAAAACGGAATGTCCCGTATTTAGAAACAAAAGTTCACGTCCCGTATTGAGCTAATAAGGGACGCACTTTGTCCCGTAATACAGTGAGAATCAAAAGTAGTCTATAACTTTTAATGGAATTAACGCTTTGTTTGAAAACATAATTCCCAGCCCCTCTCCTGCTTTGTGACCAATGCGCTGACAGCACACTTATGACAATTCGAGTATGACAAGTCAGATTATCGCTTATCTCATTGGTCGAGGAAAGGTCGCTTACGGAGAAAATACCGGCCAACAGGGAAACAAACGCCGACACTGCGGTGCAAGTCTCGGACGGCACACTGTGCCTCCATAAAATGAAGGTTATAACAGAAAATCTGTCGCTCTCTCTCTCTCTCTGTCTTTCACTCACACAGACACGCACACCGCCACCATCAACTTTGCTAAATTGCTAATGAAAAACATGATCAGGCAGCTGTGATTGAGCAACAGTGTAAATCCAACTATTTTCACGGTTGTTATGGTCGTGATAATTTTGTGATGCCACATCGAAAAGGCTCGGATGAGCTTTCCAAAGTTCTACAAGTTGTGCCTCCATCGCTTGTGTCCAGATCACACGCTGCACAGCCGTGCTGCGCCGTCTTTTTCACCGACGTTTATGTGTTTGCGCGTGAGCAATGTGAGCGCCTGTGGTGACACCCTCACGAGCGATTGATGATCGGGAGCTGGTCGTGAGGTGTTAATCGCTTCTCGTTACCCCACGTATACTACACGATGCACGATGAAGGCCAAAATCGGGCCGATCACCAAATCGGTCGCACGACTCAAAAATCGGCTCAAAATGGGCCAAAAATCGCACAGTGTAAGCCCAGCATTAGAGCAGCAATGTTTGTTCGCTCAGAGAAAGAAAAAAAAAGGCTGCAAAAGTACAGGGAGGAATGGGAAAAAGAAAACACCTGGCTGGAAAAGTGCACTATAAAGCGCACTTTTTCCATAGGCATGCTTCTAATGGTGGGCACATGAAGAACACGAGGGGCGTGAAAGCTCGGGGAACCCTTAACCAATTTCTTGTCCACCAGGCCACGGCAGAAGCAGATATGGTATGTAAACACTGGTTTGTTTTTTTAAACCCTCTGGTTAAGGTTAATATGGGCATGTGCAGTGAATATCAGCGCTATGTGGCCAGAAGTGTAATAATATAATTTATTTTGTGTAATAAACAACTGCAAGGATAGATGA